GGGGGGGGGGGGGCATGGCAGCACCCAGAGGAACCATCTATGGGGTGTGTTTTTCCCAGTGAAGAATCTGGGGCTCAGAAAGGTTCAAGGATGGGGTTGATGTCATAGAGCCAGGACTCCGATCCAGATCTTATTTCAAGTCCTGCAGTCTTTGCTTTTGGACACAGGGGGCTTGAAGTCGGGTTGGATGATGTTCAGGAGGGAGTTATAAATTTGAATATAAAACTCCAGGAGAGAGACCAGGGCTGAAGACACAGACTTTTACAGTCACCTAGGAGAGTGACAGGGAAAGCCACAATAAGAGATTGCAGAGAGAGAGAGAACAGAGCATGAAAACACTAGAAAGGGGAACACGGAAGACGCAACACATCAAATTCACCTTTCAACTATGAGTTTGGTGAGAATGGGCTCTTCGTACTGAGTGGCGTCTTCATTCAGCTGGGCATCGTCATTGGACTCTTTTCTGAGCCCTGATTCACTGAGATGCGTTTCCAATGGTGGGGCAGCCCTGGGGGACAGTTCTTGTCTAGCAGCGTTGCTGTCTGGTGTGGAAAAGTCTGGATTATCAGTGGAGGGAGAGCGGGAAAACTTATCCGCCCGTTTGTCCGCTCTTTTCTTTTCTTTCACCATTGTCTTTAGAAGTCCTAAAGTTTATATATGTAAGTATCAAATGATTCCTTCGGTTGGGAGCTGTTTGTTTCAAAGTGTTGATCGGTTTTATCTGAAAAAGAAAAATCGTAGCTCTACATACTTGCGGGTTTCATCCGTAGCTAAAATTTTAGCTTTACAACCCAATGTCATTATCATTCTCCTCTTTAAAGCTTGAAAAATTATGATTATCCAGTATCACCAGTTTATAAAAATATCGCATTGGTTGTTCCTAAATTTTTTTTGTTTTATTTTTAATGTTTATGTATTTGAGAGAGAGAGAGAGAAACAGAGCCTGAGCAGGGGAGAGGCAGAGAGACAGGGAGACACAGAATCCGAAGCAGGCTCCAGGCTCTGAGCTGTCAGCACAGAGCCCGACTCAGGGCTGGAACCCACGAACTGCGAGATCATGATCAGAGCCGAAGTCGGTCGTTTGACTGAGCCACCCAGGCACCCCATTCCTAAAATTTTTAAAAACTGGAAACACTGCCTACCATTTCTTTTCAAATAGTGTTCCAGCAAGAAGGGAACCCGATACATTAAAAAATGGCTACTTAACCCTTAATGTCTTACATGCTGGCAATGCCTACTTTGAAAGCCCATCTCTTAATACGTCTGCATGGAGGGGCGATTGGGTGGCTTAATCAGTTAAGCATCTGACTCTTGATTTCTGCTTGGGTCATGATCTTGTGGTTCATGGGTTCGAGCCCCACGTCTGGCTCTGTGCTGATAGTTGGGGAGCCTGCTTGGGATTCTCTCCCTCTCTGAAAAAATAGGTAAACTAGTATCTATATCTATATCTGCATGGTAAAGTGCTCAAGAGCTGTGTTCAGGTTCCTGCACTGCTCCTCACCAGCTGTGTGTCCTTAAGCAGGTTAAATTCCATCTGCTTCAGATACCAAACAGAAAAAACAGGGCCTTGACTCATTTGTAAGAATTATATGAAATGATGCACAGAAAACCTCTGAAGTGTGGGATACAGCACACTATCAATGATGTTGTGATTATTGTGTCACTTCCCTGTGTTTGAACTTGAAATCTTGGGCTGCCCACTCCATATGCCAGACTGAGTGCCTCCCATGCCAGAAAAGGAGCCGTGTGACGTTTGCCCAAGGTCACGGAGCTGACGGGCAGGTCCCCAAAGCCACAGTTTTCATGGCCTCCCAAACTGGCCTCATTGAAAACATCCCAGTGCAACAAACAATATACCCAGATGAGTCCTGGGGTGCGGGGCAAGGTCTGGTCCCTCCTCACACCCTGAGGGATCCAAGGGGACACCCCCACATCCTCTGCTTGGATGGCATCCTCTGGACACCCCACCTGCCAGTCACCGACACCCCTAGGCTTTGCTCTCACCAACATGATCCCGCTTTTCTTGCCCTTCAAACCCCATTACTCCCTCCAGCCCCTAGCCCAGGGAAGCCCAGGTGAGCCTTTGCTACAGATAGGTTTGCGGTCTCTGGGTGAAATCTTCACTACAACTAAGGCCCATCTCCTTCCTCGAGACCTGTTTCCCAGTAACTTTTGTTTATATTCTGGTCCCCCTGGCTTGAGGCCCTTTTACCCTGGCGATTTATTCCTTCCTGAGGCAGCACAAAAGGGGCGCGCATTCTCTGAGCTTGGGGCTCCCCGCAACTCCTGCCCACCGCACCTGCTCAGGTCCTGGGGGCCGCGTCCGCCCG